TGATTTTTCAATTCAAAATTTTTCATTATATTTTCAAACCTTTTTGTGAAATTATGAAAGATTAAGCAAAGAGTTGGAAAATAAAATAATGTATATTGGATTTCCATTCCAATTTTTATATTTGCATATTAAAACTCTCAAGAAAAAACAATCATCTCTTGTTATTTCAGCCAAACACAACCATTCTGCTTTAAACCACCTGATTTCTTTCAAAAACTGTCTTTCTTGTTGCAGACTTAAATATTAGTCCACCCAGAGGCTGTTTAACCAATGCACTCTTCTGGCTTGGCCCCTTTCAAGGCTATCTTTTGAGATGAGAGTTTGTATAAATAGCGAAAGAATCAGTCAATGAAACATATTTGAGGATAGGCTGGCAAACTGAATCAGTTCATCAGTTCAAATTGAAATCTCTTCCAGCAAACTATGAAAATATTCGAAAGAGTTTATGAGGGGTAGAGCTGACATTCCTTGTAAATCAACTTTCACGCTATCTTCCAACAGTCACTTTTGAGGAGGAAATGCTGCCTGCTCTAAGAGATAATTGATTCTTGCCTCTCCCATTGCACTTTCTTCTAGCCTTATACTATTGAAGGAAACTCTCTTAACTAAGCAAGCTGTATCAATCACAACCATGTAAGAAAACCATGACTAGTATAACAGCAATTCTGTAGCAGTAACTGTGCAATCTCACATATTTGGTGTTCCAGACAGGGCAATGAGAAGTGTATGTGCTGCCCAAATTAGGATTTGAAAATTCTATTTATTTGTGTGTATTCTCCACTACAACCTTATTTTAATCATATTCTTTTAAAGTGATATCCCAAACATAAGAAAAGAGTATGATAAGCTCTCTGGTAAGACCACAGCCAAATGTATTAACTACTAATAAAAGGAAAAAATTGCAAGAATGTTAGCTGTCCTTTTTTAAAAGCCTGGAAACTACCAGGACAGTGTAAGATGTGACTCGGGTGAGGAGTACCTCGGGTAAAAGTACAGAACTAGGAAGAATACATGCTTGCCAGCGAAAGAGGTACAACTAATAAATTAGTACCTGTGTATAAACATATGCAAAAAACCCTCAATTGTATCCTATAGTTTTCTGAGAAACTATTTGACTATGTATATAAACACCCTTTTTGCAGTTACCAAGGGGCAAATTTTTTCTTTTAGTTATGTATGGTGAAAACTAGCATTATTACTCTACTTTTAGTAACTAAACTACTTTGGAGACCACTTTAGTGTGGTTAATAAAAAACTGTCTGCTTCTACAGACAAAAAAAAAAAAGAAAAACACTGTAGTGCTGTCTTCTGAAAGATGCTTTCAGAGTCAACAATAGCAGAAAAGAGGGTAAGAAAAAAATTTTACCTAATTTTTAATTTAGCCACTTATATATTTGATTTATTAAAAAAAAAAAAAACACCCCAACAAACAAACCCACAAAACAACTGTATACTCTACAAATGAGGATAAACTTTAATGTTTCTACTCCCATTAAATTTCTATTAAGGCTAGTAATAGCCTTCCTCAAGTAGAGATCACAAATGAGCATTACCAGTTACAGTTTAAGAGGCTTTTTCTACAACCTATGAAATAACCAAAAGAATGTACACTCAGAAGCCAGACACGTATTTTTTTTTCTTTCAGATCTGCATATCCAACCCCTTTTTCTGTTTTATGGTAATATGCAAGCCAAGGACCTTGCTGTTTTTATTTTTATTGGCAGCTTTCTGTAATGTTTTGCATGAATTATTGAAGAATCCATATGGGGTCATCTGTACCACACTGCAAATTTAGCTATCTTTTTACTGGAACTTGCCCCTGTTCTAGTGCAGTCTGGATCAGTCCATGGCAGATGGTAGGGCTGTGTTACTTGTGCTGCTGCTTTGGCCATTCTGGCCACCACCATTCTGCTTCCCTGCATCACTACCAGTGCCAGATGCAGTCACAGGCTTATGGACCACATGTGTAAATGTTTATCCCCACATTTGAAAGTCCCAACACCCATTGCTCTCAGTGTAGTTTTTAACAGCCCATTGTACCGTTCAATTTTCCTGGAGGCTGGTGCATGGTAGGGGGTGTGATATCGGTGAGAACCTGGGATGGGCCAGTAAAAAGATAGCTTTCCCAGAAAGGGAATAAGTAGTACTAGTTTAAATATTTACATGCAAATAGGTGTTTGTATGAATATCTATGTATAAATAGTAATTACATGTCTATAAAAGCCACATTTTCTTTCCTGCAATACTCTCTGCACCATGGAATTTAAATAAACAGGTATCCACAGTAACTAGCAAAAGGATATTTAAAAATATTTTTGTCTATGTTTCACCTCTCTACGTTTGATATGTCAGAATTGCTTACAGTGTCATTCAGCTGGAATTTTATTCTCATTCAGGAAAGGGTAACTACAGGAGAGTAAACAGCTTTCCAAAGCAGTGATTTGGGTGGTTTTTTTTTTCATTACATACTATGCTGATCAAAGTGGGGAAGGTTTGGGCACTGAACCTCAGGCTTGAGGATGGGAAAGGCTTTTTCTTGCTGTAGGAGTACATTGTTGTGGGTGACTGAACAGGACATAAATCAGTATGCAGATGACAGCCAGAGAAATAAGCCACTAAACACAGATAACTGTTGCTTGGTAGCTCCATCTTTCTTCTAGTTTTGGATGAAACAGAGAAACCCTGGCATATTCACTACCATAACAAAACGGCAAAAAAATGAGTGCCTGTGCAACTTCTGGAGGCAACGCTGCCAAAAGTCTTCCCTGCCCCATAGGATCTTGTAAGTGGCACTGAAGCCAGAACTCACTGGGGGTGTGATCCTCTCTGTTGCAGAAGCAAGATATCATCATGCCATGACTGCAGGCAACTTTGCTGTTATGAAAGACATTGTTTCCCACAGCATTCTCTGAGGCTGTTGCAATAACACTACCAAAGCAAAAGCAGGTCCCGCTGAGCTTGTAAGAACATGGAGTCAGTGGAATTAACTTCTCCAAAAAGTGGGTCATATAGTAGCATTCAAACTTTCCAAGTAGCAAAGATTCAAAATTTAAAAGTGGTAATAGGTTTTACCACTGCAAATTCCTTTGAATATGTCTTTAAAAGCACAATATATCAATAAAACATTAAAAATAATGTAAATGTACTACCATCATCTCAAATTTCAGGAGGGAAATATTCAGTCAGAAAGTCAAAGGCCTGTAGTTAGCAGCTAGCACCACGCTGTGTAATTAGAGACAACATTAAAAACTACATAAATCACCAGCTCTTTTTCCAGAAGCTTACACTATAAACAGAGCTACACAGAGAGTCCTCATATAACCCCAGGCACCGTAAACCTCAGCACACAGCTCTTCATCTCTAAACCAACCTCTCTCCAACTTGCTCTCACCCACACGGCACAATGTACGTGCATTTCTGCTTGCAAAAGCCTCCTCCTAGCAAAACTCCAGCTTGCTATGCAGGCACATGAGTAGTAAAAGTTACAACCCCTTCTTTAAAGAAAACAAAAACAAACCCACAAAACTATTACAGACATTTTACATTTTACAGAACCCAGATTTTTGTATTTTTCCTTCTGCATTCTCTATACCGTTCCTGCACTTTACCAGAGAAAGAAAACACTATGAATCCTATGTTAAATCAAAATTTTGCTTCAACCCCATTATTTTATATCTTTATGTCACGTAGCTAGAACTCATGTTAGTACTTTCTGCGTTTTGCATGATGACTTTATTTATGGTATTGTTTCAACATTCAGTATTTTTCTTTCATTGCTTTAACTGCTCTGAAACTACACTTAACCTTTAACATATGAATATGGAATCCCAATCCTTAAAGAGACTAAAAATGCTATTTATAAATAAATAAAATGTATTATCAAGACTGAATAAGAAGCTACCTTTGCAATTGCTCCAGGCAGTTCCTTTTATATCAGAGAGATATGAAAGAATAAAGTGCAATTAAGGTCTTGGGTATCAAAAGCTGTGTTTATCAGACCTTTTCCAAATTCATACAGCTCTTAGTCAAGATGACATATTGTCACTAATATAGAAATTAATACTTTAAAGAACTATCCAGATGATAAATATTTATTTTCATTTTCTCATAAATGAATATATTTCTCATAAATATATTTTCATAATATATTCCCATATATTATTATACTTTTCCATACAGAAATAAGATTTTATAACCCAAACATTAGAAATATACTTGCACTTGTTTATAAAAATCAGATTTTTTTCCCAAAACACCATGAAAACAAAAGAAATATTCTGTGCTTCCTGGAGAGAGTCCTATTATTATGCTATTGGTCTAAACTGCTGCAACTATATTTTGGGGACATTATTGTACTTGAAATTGTTCTGACAGAGGAGGCCGGCCGATATTTCCTGTTTTGCATAAGACAGATCTTTTTTTCTCAAGCACATTTCAGTTGTGTGTGATGCGGGGACATTTCAAAACAGAGCCATCAACTCCAAATACTCCAAGATGCGGCCTGGGCGTTAATGTGCAGCCAACAAGTGCGCTGCAAAACACCAGCACCAGGATCTGTGCCGATTCCCTGAGGACAAGCAAAGGAGTAGAGCATGTGTTCATATTGCTGTCATGTATGCAAGCAGTCACTGCTCCTGACCCTCCAGAGCCCTACTGGGACAAGGTTGTTCGGTACCCCCACCAAAACCAGCACACAATGCTCCAAGCAAGGCGGTGCTGTGTGTTATCACTCTTCTCTTTACTAGACTAGACGCAACCAGTGATAATGACTTCTTGGTTTAGGTTTAACACATTTTTATCCTTCTAAGACAGTTAAGAATCTGCATAACTTTCATCATTAAAGTACTTTCAGAGACTTCAAAGGTGATGCCTAATATTAAACAAGTATGTAGGCTCCTATTGAACTGTGGTTTCTAGTGGTGTTTTCTGAACTGGTGAGAATAGTCAGTACCGTCCTGAAAGTCTAACTTGTCTGTATAGGGGTAGCCAACCAATCATACCTGCAGCATTTGTTCTTCCTCTGAAAATATCATCATACGCTTTCCATTGTGGGGTCACCTGGTAGGCGTGGATGAACACCACAAAAACCACTACCAAGCACATTAATGGCACCAGAGCAGCAGTGAAGAGCGCAGCGTAGGCATTTGGAATGAAGCACCTGATGGAAAAACAAATGAAAAAAATTGCTATTGATAAACATAAGAGACACCTTGAATGTCCATGAGTGAAATTTCAAAAACAAATGCTTTTGAAGAAGGATATGTGCTCCAAACCACAAATTCTTTAACTCTGTTATCAGGGTAACCTTCATAGGATGCACTAGGTTCTGTTGGTTCTTATCTCTTCATCATATCTTAAGGAATATAACATTTGCACCTTAAAAGTATGCATGTTATATTTTAGCCTAATCGCTGTTGGAGAGATTTGAACTGTTGCAATGGAACACATTATATTTTAACAAACTCCATGCATGTTATATTCATTTAATGTGATCAACTGTTAACTCACAAAAGTCTAAAATGCCATTATGCAGCTTTCTATACTTAGCTCCTGAAACCACAAATTAATGTTTCAGAAATATATTATAAAAATAAATTAGTAAGTCTTAAATTCAAGATAACTATTCCTCCTCAAGTTGTCAGACATTATATCACTCACACACTGAACCCAAATGCTTCCTCCCTTTCATTTTTTTCAGTTGTCTTGTCTCTCCTTATCCTTTCCATTTATTAAAGTTAGAATTATTTATAAGAGTTATTCCTGAAAAAGAGTCAAGCATATAAGATGATGACTTGAAGGATATAGAGAAGATAGTTAAAAAGAGCTCTCGACAGCATGCAAAATCACAGTTTTCTGTGAACTCCCTGGAGATCAGTATGTGCTTTACAGCCACTGACCTACTCTAGAGATGACGCACAACAGAGCAGCCCAAGGGACAGCTTGGGAGTCAGTATGTCTAGAGAGTATGTGGTCACTGCTATCCCTACTAAGAGGGTGTAACTTACCCAGCCCTTCTGTTTGTCAGTTCAGCTCTGCTAAATAAACTTAGAGTCAATGCTGGGAAGTGCTCAAGGCCAGACTGGATGGGGCTTGGAGCAACCTGCTCAAGTCTACTGGAAGGCATCCCTGACCACGGCAGGATGTTGCAACTAGATGGTCTTTAAGGTCCCTTCCAACACACACCATTCCATGATTCTATGATTGTATGACAACATACATCTGAGAAGAGCCTAGGTACATGTTTCACTGATACACCTGGCATACCTTCAGGGTTTGCTTAGGTTGACATGAGTACTAAGTCCAGAAAATCAAGATTACACTCTGTCAGCTCTTCAAGAACGTCAGTTGGGCATAATCAATGAATCCCAAAATAATTTCCATCAGAATCTAGATAATTTCTGCAACTCTCTTCAGGAGCTACAGGCTCTGTCAGACATCAAGCTGAGGTACCACCAGATAACACCACCACACAAGTAAGCAAGAAACAGGGAAGGGCAGGCTGGACAGAGCTTGGAGCAACCTGGTCTAGTGGAAGGTGTCCCTGCCTGTGGCAGGGGGGTGGAACTAAATGAGCTTTAAGATCTCATCCAATGCAAACCAGTCTACAATTCTATGATTCTTTACTGCACAATTGGTGTTCTTTTCGCAGAATCACAAAATGGATGATACTGGAAGAGGCTGCTGGAGATCATTTTGTCTGAACCTCCTTCTCAAACACAAACCTAGTGGCCCAGGACTGGGTCTAGATGGGTTTTTTTAGTATCTCCAAGGATTAAGACTTCATGACCTTTCTGGGCAAACTGTTCAAGTGCTCAGTCACCTTCACAGTGAAACCCCCATCTGGGTCTGTCCTCTCTGCACCCTCCCTTCAGGTGTTTATACTCATTAATTAGATCCTCTAGAGCCTTCTCCAGGTTGAACAGTCCCATCTCTCTCAGCCTTTCCTCATAGGATTAATGCTCCAGCACTTACTCACCTTCCTAGCCCTTTGCTGAACTCTGTCCAGTCTGTACATGTCTCTCCTGCATTGGAGAGGCCTAAACTGGCCCCAGGACTCCAGCTATGGCCTTACCAGTGCTGAGCAGAGGGTAAGGATCACCTCCGCTGACCTGCTGGCAACATGTTTGTTTCCTGAACATAGCATCTGACTCATTTCACCCTTTTAATTTTTAGTATTTCTTAGGTATGAAAGTTATTTTTCTTCTTGAGTGGGTCCAACTAGCATTGAGACATGAAGGCACATTACCATAACCTATCTACTTTTAATGATCAAAATGAAGCCAAGAATCTTAGGACAGTATAGTCTCCTATGAAATCATATTTATGTTCTAAATTCTGTAATTTTTTTTTCAATTTGATGCATTTTTGTATCTTCTTCAAAAACATCTGAACATCTCAGAAGTTTTCTGTGAACACTATATTGTTAACAAAAGCTGCATAAAAATGAAACCCCACAAAGATGGATAAATTTTGCTAATACCCCTAAGTACTCGCTATCAAAAAGACACTGAAATGTTTTGTATAAATGAAATACACACAGACATATTAACAAATATTTTTCTTGAAAGCAATGATGAGCAATTCACTGATGACCACTGCTTTCTGTAAGTTTTATTCACATATAGAAGTGTGATAACACATGTCAAAAGGTATCTTTTATGCTGGAAATCATATGGGACATCATTATAGGGATTAACTGAAAATACTTATACTTGACACTAGGGGCACATATGCATTGTTCTGTTACCATTAAACATTTGTCACATGGAATTACTGCGTGTCTCATGTTCCTAGCATTGGATGGGAATAAAATAAAAATGTCATAAAACTTCAACTAAGTTGCTGTTCCAGAATACAACCACTCTACAGAAGAAGGCCTAGAAAGACTGATGTGGAAACTGGAATGATCCACATAACTACAAACCTTACTTGTTTAAAGAAGAGCATTATCTCCTGCAAGATAGTCTTCAAGCAAGTTCTTTTTTCTCTTTTTAAATGGGCCTCCTTTGTAAAGTAAGACTTTAATCCATGAAAGATGGAGCTATTGTGCACAATGAAGTATTTTTTTATTTCTTTCTTGGGTAAGTAGTTGTAAGGTTTTTGTTTTGAACCGAGTAACAGCAGAAAAAATCACCAAACTTACAGCTTTGGGCAGAAGAAAAATAAAACACTGCTAGCTTCTTCAAAGATTGTCATTTTATTGCAAAGTTTATGGGACTTCCTATTAACCAAATTAACAACTGACAAGATGTATACTGGAACTATTTGTTAGTGCCATTACATAATTAATAATATAAAAAGAAAAAGAAGGAAAAAAAAAGGCAAAAATAACCAGGAAATGAGGACTATTAAAAAATTTCAGGAAGTTATAAAATCAAAGAACTGGCATATCATTTTCCCTACTGAGCAAGAAAGATTTAAAATAAATCAATGTATTAAAGACAGCTTCATTCCATCATTGCTATATCTTGAATTCTAAGGACAAGCTCCTCGAAATGCATCTTGAAATTATGAAAAGTTAAGTTTGACCAAAAAGTTGGAGGTGTTCTTCCTTATTAAATACCCAGTGTTCTCATCAAGTTCTGTCAGCAAAAATCTTTTGACTTTTAACAAGTGACACAACAAGAGGAAACAGCCTCAAGGTGAATCAGGGGAGATTTAGGTTGGATATTAGGAAAAGTTTTTTCATTGAGAGGGTGTTCAGGCACTGGGACAGGCTGCCCAGGGAAGTGGTGAAGTCACCGTCCCTCAAACTGTTCACAAACAGTTTAGAACAGGCCCTTAATGACATAGTTCAGTTCTGGCCTTGGCAGTGCTGGGGTAAATGCTGGACTTGATGAACTTAAAGGTCTTTTCCTACCTAGCTGATTCTGTGACTTACTTTTCATGTGAATATTTCTCCAGAGCTAAACCTAGATGATGATTATTATTATTATTATTATTATATTATTATTCATATTAGTATTACTACTATTGTTCTTGCATGCTTTTAATTTATTATTTATTTTCATTTTCATTACAATCATTTAATCCTGCACACAAGGCTCTACAACTCTTGAGCTTCTCCCATGTTTCAGGCACAGCTGTTTGGTGGGCAGCCCAGCACAGAGAACAGGAATTGTGGCACCATGTGAATTTCCTCATATTGCACATTACATCAGCAAAGTCAAACGCAAAAGTCAGACACCTGAATTTGCACCTCCATTTGTACTTCATCATCTCCACACGGAGAAACAAATGTATGTATCTAAAATAACCTAACAAAAAGCAAATCCTCAATTGCTTATTCATGCTTTCTCAGCAAATTCTTCACAAAGTAGACAGACACTACTTAAAATTAAAATACACAAATTGGGTTATAACCTACATACACTTCTACATATTCACATATTCTGGCCTTCCATAAAAAGCAGCTTGCTTTTCCAGATTTTAGTTTTGCTACATTATCCTTGAGTTAGTATTTCGTATTTTTCCTTAGAATGCACAATTTTTTGCTAAATGCGGTGGAGGCCAGACAATGGAAACAGATAATTACTTGCTAAAAAGTTGTTAATCTGACAAATTATCTGCAAAAAATTGCATATGAAATGTATCTAACCAGCAAACCAAAACATCAAATGTCTTTCTTTAATGAATTTATCCTAGATAATAGTATTTATTATCTGCATCTGATGTTTTGGGCAGCATAACAGTTTTACAATCAACCTGCTTTTGAGAACATTATAGGTATTTAATAAGTGGAAACTCTGGGCTTTTAATTTTGACACAATTGTTAAGCATAGCCCTGAGAACATATGGCCTCTTGTGTTACATCTCAGACTCGCCAATAAATTCAGTTCTCTTATATATGTTCATTTGCACATTCAGCTGACAAACTACTCCTTTGTGGACTTACATCTAGTGCAATAATTCTTACAGGAATTTATGCTGCTCCCTCTGGTCCCTTCGAACTTTCTGCCTGTTTTGGAAGACTGTTGCTCTTCATATCAAATCCCTTTGTACAAACCCAAAGCAGTAAGCACCAGGTATCGCTGTAGCATTTTATTTCTCTTTGTACTAATCTAGAGGCCCTGATAGATGTACACTTCACACACAATACAGGACTGCCAACATTTTATGCACATGGCCATCTACCACAGTCTAACAGCAGTCATATTC